CGATTTCAAACTTTTTGCATTTCGTAAATATAATAGCGACCAATCTGTTTGTATTTCAAAAAAATGTAACATGTTTCAATTAAATTAAAAAGAGAATAATAAATAACTTAGTGTGTATTGCATTTCATGACATGAATGCTAGAAAGATGTATGTAAATGACATGCAAATTAATATGCAAATTTATGCTAATTAGGCCGCCCACCAGCTATTTTGGATTGTGGAGAACACTGCGGGGTAGTGTTAATTAGCATATATTGCTCAAATAATATACTGACATAAGGGGTACAGTGTTATTTGGCATATGGCTCAAATAATATACTGACATAAGGGGTACAGTGTTAATTAGCATATATGGCTCAAATAATATACTGACATAAGGGGTACAGTGTTATTTGGCATATGGCTCAAATAATGTACTGCCATAAGAAGCAAGTTATTGGCATACATGTTACAAATGTCTGTTTGTGTTTAGAAGGTACTGTCTGAGAAATCATGTCAGAATATGTTTGTCTCAAAAAGCAGATATAATAAGCCAACTAAATACTGATAATTCTGCTGTGTTTCCAGCCAAACACAAACTAATAAATGACATATCATTTCCAAACTTACCAACAGAACATCAAGTATCATCAGCTGATGAGGTTTCAAATTATCCACCATCACATCAACATTGTTTTTTGTTTCAATTTTACAAATACTGATCATCATATTCCTTTCTAAAATTGACACTTGATGTAAAACTGTCCGGAAATGTGACAGTTGAAACATTCAACAAGATAACCTTGTCGAAAAGATAAAAGAGATGTAAGAAACTACAGGTATCACAAGGGAACACATGTCAGTAAGGGTCATTTATATTTTTTATTAGTCTAGCTATACTGACATTTCACACTCAGAAATGGGGTTTTATTTAGAAATCACACCAAGCTTTATTGCAATGTGAGACGTACCATTTGTCATCAAGGGGTGTGCAATTATTAATTATTGCAACATGTATAGACCATATGTAGTCCATTCTCAACAATAATCCCAATGAAGGGCCTTCAGAAGGAGGGGTTTGAATAAATATGAGCTAACATCTGTGTGCTGCCTAATCAGTGTGCCTCTTACACGACTGATTTTATAATGATCCCAAGTCGAAATGGAATCCCCCCAAATCAAGCTCAGTCAGCTTGTTGACTTCTGGTGAGGTCAGTCTTCAAGAAAAAAGTATGCAACTAAAATAGTATAGACATTTTACCCTTGTATGCCTTAATCTAATGATAGGGGCAAGGTAAACATTCAAGAAAACAATAGCAAAATAATGCAGTATATAGCCTTTAATAGCTGCTCTAGTAGTGGGAAAAGATCTCCTCCTAAGAAATTAACAATTCCATTCACTAAATGTGGAAAGATTGTGATTCAACCTTTCAGTCAAACCTCGCTTGCTACTCGCTAAGATATCAGACAATGCTGGGGGAATCTTAAACATCACTTGTCTATTTGGAATGCTGCTCATTAGTCAACAAGGTTTCCTGTCACAGATCTCAGATTCATACAACCATATAGCAATTCTAACTACAAAGACACCGAGCAAATATGCATCATTTTCAGTGCTTTGAATTAATAACCTTTTCAGCCCAGCATAATATTTTCTCAGAATTCAGTTAGATGAGTCAAAATGTATAGCTTTCAAAGGAGTCAGTCATGAGATGCACACAATTCTATATTATTCTACAAATGGGATGATGTTCCATTTTTGTAGACACGAAACAGCAATCAGAGTACCGAAGATGCTCCCCACAAAAGGTGAGCACAGCTTTTAAAGAAACTTCTGGCATACCTAGACAATAATTCAAACAAGCCCTATAGAACATGCATCTCTTTAATAGCAGTCATGTTTACTTAAAACAGAAATAATTACCATAAGTTGTCAAGTGAGTAATCAGGCTGTGCATTTTTGAAACAGTCTATCAAAGCTATACCACACAGGGTTCCTGACATGGCTAATTTATCACTAACTCCCTTGAGATCTTGGTAATGATTAGTCATAGAGGGCGCTGCTCCATAAATGGATGAATACTCAGTGGAATGGAAACGGCAACAGCAAACATTCAGAATAAAGCTCAAGAAAAAAAAAAGTGTTTTAAACTGGAAACACATTATGTACAACAAAACACAGAATTCCTATTGCCCTGGGAGTGTATAGTCTAATCAATAACTGAAGGAAAAGAGAAAATATCTAACCATAACACATCAGTATCTCGACCAATGATTAAATGTTTGATCAAATGACCACGAGAACATTTTTAAAGAAATAAAATTACTTAGCTTTAAAATTAAAATAATTATTGTACAATTATCAAATACCAAACATGCCTCCACAAATACAAAAGAAGGCTCACCTAATTTGCCAATGATTGGCGAGCAATCTATAATGCGTCTTTTTAGCTAGCATGTAATTTTAGCTCATTTAGCTAATCTGTAAGTTTTCTTAATCAAGATGTCGCTAATTTAAAACGAAGTATATTCTCACAATACGATTGTTGGTACTTTAGCTAAACTAAGATTCTGTTCATTCATGCATGGGGTCAAATTTGCTGCAACAGCATGTAGCTATTTCCAAGTGTTTCACAGTAGTCTAGTGTGTAATTTTTCTTCACAACATACTGAAGAGATTT